GTATATGTATTCGGGCGAAAGCTCGTCGCAAGCTCTATCTCTTAGAAATTCCGCCGCTGTACGTATTTACGCGCCAAAGATCTATGTACATACGCGTACGGGGTGCACTGCGCCGCCGCACTCACACATGACTATAGCGAGCGATATTTATGTCTACTACGCGATGCCTAAGTACACTCGACCCTGACTTTCTCTCTATCCGGGCGCGCAGTTGGCAAAGAGAGAAGCCTAGAGAGAGAGAGAGAGAAAGAGAGAAAGAAAAAAAACTTTCAACTGCTGCTGCTGCTGCTGCTCCACGCTGTCTCTTATCTCTCTGTCTCTGCGGTGGCGTAGCGCAGTAGCTGCAGCGAGATAAGAGCAATGACGCGCTTTTAATCTCGTTTCAAGGACGTGACGGATGAATATTCGTCCCCGCGCATTGCGAACCAGAGAGAGAGAGAGAGAGAGAGAGAGACAAAGACGCCGCCAGTGCCGCCACCGACGAATGATTTACTTATGTATATGTGCGCTGCGGCCGAAAGCTGCGCCTTGGATGTCTCGGCACGTGCCAGCTGTAACGATTATATCGCGTGTATACACAGAGAGAGAAGACCGAGGAAAACAAACATAAGCGCGCGCGAGGAAGGAGGCACGAGAGAGAGAGAGAGAGTAGGATCTAAAGAGGATTGATCGATTTTCGCCGCCGCTTTCGGCGAGAAAAACCATTGTTCCCCAAAGTGCGCTACGTGTCATACATCTCCGAATAAATAATGAATTGTTTCCGCGGCGTCCTTGCGACGAACAATCGCGCGGGAGAAGAATAATGTAACGCTAACTGCTAATCCGCCGTACATCTCAGTAATTTTATACGACAGATCCTAGCTTGTAAGACGGTGTACGAGCATTGAGCTTTTATCTTTTTATTATTATCTGTCCAACCGGCAATGACCTCGCTCTCGTAGTTCATCCTATTTTTTCTTATACTTTTCACTCTCCTGAAAAACACCTTATTACGTGTCCTGGTGTCACAAAACGTAAAAATAATTAAAACTAAATTTGTAGCTGCTTTCTTTTAAAAATCCTATGGATAACACGATGTATATTTCCTTTTTTACCCATTCTAAATAACTCAATTTATCAAAAAATTCAAATCTAAAAACAAAATTTTATCCTTTCTTCACTCTGTATACTCATGTTCTATAGATTTAATATGACGTCTCTACGCATTACACCTGAGAATCCTGTCATCGTAAAGGTCATCCTTTCTTTCGTTTCTCTTTCTCGCTCATAAAGCTTTTACTTATTTCAACCCTCGTGCGGCGCAGTATGAGCACGAGTATTTTTACAATCCAGTGAGACCTCTGTCTACCGTGTGTGCGTGTGTGTGTGGGTGTGAGTCCATATAAGAGGTGGTAAGAAATTGCGACGACTGCCGTCTTGTATAATGCACGTATAGTAGGTCGCAAGCTCAACGGCGTACACGTACTGCGGAGCCTCGAGATAAGCTCTTCATTGATTTTGCATGAGGCCTGCCGCTCGCAGTAGCGTATAGCCTCCGCGCCTATACCGCAACCTCTATTATATGGGCATAAAGAATTTAGATGGATTAATTTCTCGCTGTAAGTACCCGAAACGGGCTATAATATTTGGGTTATACTTAGGTGCACGCCTTGGACTCTCGCAAAGACTCGCTCTCGAAGAAGCTATATATCCGCAATAAATTACCACTCGAGCGAAAGTAACGAAGGCGAGCTTAACGGCTTATGACTATGTTTTTCTTATTAATTATTAAAATAACCGTTCACACGGGCTTCGGTCGCTACTTTGATCGTGGTGCAGATCGTCGCGCGCGCCCAACTGCGCGCAGCGGCAAAGCCAATTATATATTATCTGTATATATACGAGGGAGCACATTGTGCGCGTCGTGCGCTTATTATTGTCGTCGTCGTCGTAATAATTTTGACAATGTCATAAGCACTAGGCATAATAATTTATTATTACGATCGCTCGTTTGCATTCGACTGGATCGCTGATACATACCACATATAATGCCATTAGGGTGAATTTCGCTTTTAATGCGTGGCGCGTAAAATCAACTTGGCCCCATCATCGTACGCGCATATGTGGCTGCGCAGCAGCTCCTGCGGCTATCGCGTACATATACGCATGTAGCTACTTTACACGGTACAATGCAGCCGCGGCCACGATCTAAAATTCAGGGCTCACGTGCTGCGAGCTACTTATGAATATTATGACTGAAACGCGACATTGTTACGGAGAGAGAAAAAAAATTGTAGCTCGCTATTTTTTCGCGAATAACCGCGTGCGCTGGGGACATTGACTATTTTTTTCATCCCTTTGGTTCTTGAACATTTAATGCAAACTTGACTAAAGCCACTAACAAAGTATGCCATTTTAATTTTAAGTTAAAAATCCTTCATGCCCATGCCTACAAGACCGGTTAAAGTCAGTTTCATGCAGTATAGGTAGCTCCTGATTAGCCAACTAGACCAAGGTGTGCTTATACGCATGCAGTACGTTCCTCGTCTATTACACGATGAATTTTGCGATTACAAATCTCGCGAATGCACACGTACAACGCGGTTAATTTGCGAGATTGTCCGAAACACTGCTGGACTTTTCAATAAAATGCATACTGTATATATACGCGCGTAAACGTTGTTCTGTTCTGACGTTCACTCGCTCGCCTGGAATAATCATGTTGATCAGCCGTGTTGGCCGCGCGCGCAACCCGCCTGCATTATGTAAACAATGTACTTTTCCATATGAAACTATTTAAATCGAGGTGAGCCACGTTATACGGTGGCCAAGCGCTGACCCAAGCTCCCCGGTGCACATCCAATTTTCTTTGAGTGCACGACTACGCTAGAGCACAAAAACACATATAACAATGATAATAATAATATCCGAGATCCGCGCGTCAGAAGTAGTTTTTTCGATTTTCCATTCGGCAAGAAACGCGAGCGCCGCTGATGGCTGCTGCTGCAGTAGTCTGCACGGCGCGAGCGAGTCCGAGAGTCTGAGTGTGTGTCTAGAGCTTTCGAGAGGATAAGCCGGGTAAAGCTCGCGCTGAGATTGAGAAATGGTATTATTTGCCAGAGATCGGAAGGTTACTCGGGTTATACGCGGCCACTGATACGTATTCATTGCCTCTCGAGAGAACCAGATGAGAAAGAGAGAGAGAGAGAGAAAGACAGACAGAGAGCTTGCACGCCCCGACTAACGAAATGGAATTATTGACGTTGTTAAAACTTTCGGGTGTTGGCGTGAGTGTGTGTGTTTGTGCGCGCGAGCTTGATCGTTACGGGCATTTGTACACATAACCATCTCATTTGCGTATCGTGTGCATAAGCGAAGCTCGAGTTTTAATGCGGCTTAAAGAGCCAATTGATTAAATATAGAGCAAAGGTCGAGCGAGAAAACTGGGACAATCAGTTGCGCGAATCACACGCTCGTATTCTACAAATAATGTATCGCCAGTTAATTCGAGAAGCGCGGCTATAAGAGATCGGTGGAGGACTTTGCTGCGGTGTGTTACTAAACAAGCTGCGGACGACGACGACTACGACGAGAACTCGACACTTCCAAACTTTCGTGATTGAGCGCACGAGCTAGATTCGAGTTAACTCTCGCGCTGCGCGTACTGGTCAAGATGTCGCATTGAGTAAGCTAGACCCTCCCGCCCCCGCACGCGTTCGTCGCGATGACTCGTCAGAATCGTTTACTCGGCTAACTTGCGAATCTCGCCCGATTGAGCATGAAAAGGGTACGATACTTTGAGTGACACGATCGAGCTTGTCGAGCTTCATTTCTTCGATTAAATGCCGAATATTTCAAATACAAACTTGAATAAGACGTTCGTACGAGTAAGAAAAATACACGCACACGCGCGAGTTCTTTCAATCTTATCGGCTTAAGATATTTTTATGCGTATCCTTTGAACGAGCGCGGCGAGTTTCGTTAAATTTAATGGTAGTCATTGATCGTCGTCGAAAATAAAGTAGTCGTGCATTTCGGGCCAAAAAAAAAAACGAAGATAGTATCGAGCCAACGAGATAACAAAGCCATCGTTGAATGCTTGTAATGCTCGCTAACCAGAAGAGAGTAATGAAGGGAAAGGAAGAAAGAAACGAGAAAACAAGCAATTCCAGGCCAAAATATCAGAATCAATGAACGCTGCAGCTTCACAAAGTGCACCGATAGGTATTTTCATTAATTTCGACGTAATTTTAAACCCTTTCGTTTATGCTCGCGAGCTTCGTTTGATTGCATATTTTCATTGGATTATTCATTGGATCAAATTCGATTGTTTTTACGAATAATAATTCAAAATACCTTCATGAATAATTACGTAGTATTAAAGCGCGAAGCTTACGATTGTATTATAACGCATTGTTTAAATAAAAAAATAGCAGTTCCAAGAAATTTTAAGAAATATTTCAATTAATTTACTTGATAAATCATCAATTATTTGCTATCTTCAGAAAACCAAACTAAAAACTCTGTTTTGATATTTTTTTTTACGTGGGATATGTTGACAATATAAGAAAAAATATGAGAAAGTAAGATCACCATTTGCGAATTGATAGAGTGCGAATAGTGCTAATACCTGATTTTTTAGAGTTACTTTCAACTTGAATCGGAGATGAAATTGGAGTCGAATCAGGAATGTTTGAGTAGCTGAATGCTTTTGGTTTTTTTAAGCATTTCAACATTGTCTTTGTATCAATTAGGTGCTATGGTAATAAAAACATATTTTAATCTCTTCATATATTATCTCATTATTTTAATCTTTATATTCCTTAATAAGAAAAATAAATATATAATAAATACAATAAAAATAATAACAATAAAAATACTATAAAAAAATATACAATAAAAATAATAAAATTTCATAATAAAATTTTTTACATCATATGATCGTGTGCTTATTAATAGAAAAATCAAAACTATTTTTTTTACATTGTTTATTTGAATGTCATTAACATACTACAAATATGCTAATCGACATCATGACTTTGGCCTGTAAACGCTAAGCAAATATTGTACAAATCTTCGTTCTTTAGCTGCTCGAGGATTAATTCACAGCAAAGAATCGGCATCCGTTTCTGTATCAGTTCGAAGTAAAATGCCAGTGTCCATCGCTGAAAAAATTTTCTCGACATTACCTCGCACAGATGCGAAACACAAGCCCAATTTTCATCTTCGGAGAGCATATACAATTTTTCCGGGCACGATAACTCATAGTAGTCGGTATATGTGAGTTGTTTTGCGGCTTCTTCGGGTCGTAACCGGATCAGTTCGTCGAGCGACAGATCAGGATTCATCATTATTTCTATTGCTTTGCTCGCGAACTCCACATCATCATACCAACCTTCTTCGAATTCTTGCGAATTCTCGAACAAGCCGTTACTCGCGAAAAACGTCATGACCGCTAAGGCGTCGCTTTCATTTAGTTCGTATCCTCTATTTTCTAGGCACTCGATAACGACCATGGCACCAGATGCTGCATCCAATTTAAAATTGAACCACATATGATCATTCCACCTTCGAAATCCCTCTTCAAAGTCACTCGCCGTTGGAAATACGAATTCGGATAGATCAGCACCATTATCCAATAGTACATCGACCAGGTGTGGCATAATATTTGCTACAGCCCATTGAAGAGGTGTCCGGCCTGAATTGTCCGGAGCATCTACCTGAACCAGCTGATTGAGTTCTTCGTTGATCTTAAAAAATAATTTTATCAATTCATCATCGCGGAGCTCGTCTCTCGTACAAATGAAGTGCAAAGGAGTCGATCCCTTCTCGTTGGCTACATTTGGATTTGCGCCTCTTCGCAGCAATAATTCGGTCATCTTCTTGTATCTGCTGCGCAGAGCATAGTGTAGCGGGGTGTTACCCAATTCGTCTCGGGCATTGACCTGTAACGTCTGCTGTTCATCGTCGATAATCTTAAAGAATAGTTCTGCCATCGCATTGTCCTTATCGTCGTCGTCGTCGTCGTCGTCATAATCATCATCGTCGTCATCTTCGTCGTCGTTATCATCATCATCATCACCGTTATCATCGTCATCATCGCCATCTCTTTTGCAAATAATATGCAGAGATGTTAATCCGTTGGCATTGCCTAAATTAGGATTCGCACCTCTACTTAACAGATATCCAAACATATCCATGTTGCGGCCCCGCAGAGCATAGTGAAGTGGTGTGTTACCCCAACTGTCCGGGGCATGAACTAGCCGATGTTCCTCTGCGCCGATCTCCAATATTGTTGCCGCCAAACTAATGCCATAGTAATACTGGCAAATGATGTGCAGAGGGGTCAATCCGTCCTTGTTAGCCAATCTTGGATCGGCGCCTCTTTTGATCAATAATTGGGCCACTTTCTTGTTTCCGTACTTTAGAGCCAAGAGCAATGGTGTATTGCCCAACTTGTCCTGGACATTGATCGGAATCAGCTTACCCTTTTCGTCATTCATTCTGAAGAATATCCCCGCCAAGTCGCTATCGCTTTGCCTCTTGCAAATAATATGAAGAGGAGTCGATCCCTCCACGTCCGCCAAAATCGGATTGGCACCGTTTTCCAGCAGCACTTGAACAGAGTATTTATGTCCATTAGCGAGAGCGTAGTGAAGCGGGGTCTGACCCATCTGGTCCCGGGCATCGACCTGAACCGACTGACCCACACATTTGTAGTTTCTACGGGTGAGCAATATTATCGTCAAATTATTAACACTGTGTCGCATCGTGGCTGTGTTTAGAATGTGCAGAGGGGTCAATCCTTCTGCATTGACCAAATTTGGGTCCGCGCCATGACTCAGCAGCAATTTAGCCACGTCCTTGTGCCTATTAACCAGGGCCAGATGCAGCGGCGGTTCGAAGAAGCTGCCGTCCGTATCACGGGGAAGACAATTGGGATCCTGGCCCTGTTCGAGGAATTTCTCGACAACATCTTCAAATCCAAACTTGCAGGCCACGTGGAAGTGTGTCAATCCAGATTCATCGATGTAATTCACTTTAAACTTATCGTATATTTTGAAAAGATTTTCGATGGTGTTGCCGACACCACGTGTGGCCGCGAGATGAATTGCTGTCGTGCGACGCAACAGTGGCTTACCGTCTTCATCGACTTCGGGTTTATTCTTGTAACCTGAGCGTACCGCAAACTCAATGAATTCATATCCCATACGATAATACTTGGTATGGCAATAATTTACAGAATCTGTGAGTAGATATTCAATTTCTTTATCCTGAAAAATGTCTCGGAGATCAAAAACTTGGCCCTTCCAATCACTGATAAAAAGATAAAATTTACAGAGAAAATCAACTCGCTCTTCTTCGATCTCCAAATTGAACTTTTTTTGTAAGTTCTTTATTTTTTCTAACTTTATTTTGTTAACGATACTTTCAGCGAATTCATTATCGAACGGCATGTTTATCGTTTAGCGCACTTACATACACAAAAACACAGTCACTTATAATTTAAGAAGATATATATATTTTTTTCAAGAAAATCACTTGCTGCGATCTATATACTATTTACGCTGCAGCATCGTAACGTGTACTGAAGCACATGGTCTATATGTAAGAGATGCATGTAACTCTAGAAAGCAGAAGAAATCGTACATGCAGAGTAGTAGGGACTAATCTTGTGTGTAGCGCACGCTGCAATAATAACAACAGTACGTGGATAAGCCTAAGCCCCGCCCCTACTTCGTTAGAACTTTCACTTTCTAATCGTTACAGAATTAATAGACTCCAACTGTAAGTGTCGCAACTTATGCACGAGAGAGATATAGAGACGCACTACCCATGGATGCATTGACGTTGCATTGAAACTGCTTCTGTATAATTTGAATGCATTACGTGACTGATCATCAGTGCGCATCGACCGTACTAACTCTGAATCGAACCTTACTCTCAGCAACACATGCTAGACTTTAAATCGATGATCTCATTTTTCCAGCGTCTTTTTCAAAATTGAAGTATTCTTCAATTTCGGTGTTAACTTTTTTTTCATACCTGCGGCCCAAAAGTGACTACTTCCCTGCCGCTGTGCAAAGCGGTAAGAGCGATTTTCGGGGCACTGTGTATAAAAAATAGTATACAGGCCTATGTCGCGAATAAGAAAGCCCCAGAGCACATGTTTATCGGCCTCGGCTTCGCCTTGGCCACTAATTACACGTACTCTGGGACTTTTCTGTTTTTCGTGGCCTACGGCAGTAATATACCAATTATGGAATGCATTCCTTGATGAAATCAAAGAAGGAGTTAATACTAGCTCTGAAATCTTGCCTTGCTTTATACACTTATCTTTATTTTTCCACCTGCAGATTTATATATAAAGTTACTCGCCATCTTGTGGTCGAAATTAGAATTAATTATATCCATAGTAATTTAAAACTTGTCCAAGTAGTTTTAAATAGCTAAATTTTCTATTTCAGGTTATTAAAAATGTAATTAATATTTTTAACATAAATGTAGTTATAAATTTATACAATGTTAATAATAAGCTGAAGTGGTAATTAACTTTTTTTTTTCTTATGTATTGATGACTGTATGACTGAAGTATATAATTCGGTAGAGAAGCATTTTTCTTGTGCTGTTGAAAAACAATTAATAAACATTGGACCAAACATTACAGACATAACCATGACTTATCTGTAGAATATTTATGATAACACCTATGACTAAGTAATTTAAAATAATCAATGACTGATGTAAATCCATATCCTGAAAAAAAAATTTATTCATGAATATTAGTAAAAATTGTTTTAATTAATCTATTTTAATGATAATACAATTTTTGAAAAGAAATTAACTCTCTTAAGCGCACAACGGCGCAATACTACGCAATAGTATTTACCACGTATACGAGAACAAGTAACACGTCACTTTATCTCATTAGATCTCATCGAGATTCACTCTCAATATTATCAATTTTTACTAATCGTGGAAAAGGCGAAATTCTTTTGGTTCTTATTATTTGAACTAAATGTGATCTCATTTTCGTAACATTTTGTGAATATTGTATCATTCTCGGATCCCCCCCCAGTGCTATTTTTACAGCAAATGCCAACGCATAAACTCCGCAAGAAATTTCATCAGGTTGCCTTGTTACCCGCGGGATCAAAATATTACTTTCCGAGACCGAGACCAACTCTGCCCAGCCCAAACTATCATAGAGTGTCAGATCACTTCCATCGTAGTGTAAGCATATCCAATGTGCACTTTCGGCACCTCCAATTATTTGCAAAAAATTTGTACCTTATTTTGCAGGCTTCAATAATGTTCTATAAACAAAATGTTGAACGTCATGTATTTCGAATTCCGGAAAAATTGTCGAAGAATTCTCTGTGCGAGTTCTATATCTTGATCTTCCAACTTATAATATATGTTCATGATATCTGCTACAACTGTATTTTGATCAATGTTATTGTTTATTAAATTAATGCACTCTTGGTATTCTTGATTGCTCATTTGGTTTTCGTCTGTTTTCGAATCGAGTTCGTCTACAATATATGGGTTAGAAATTTCAACTTCTTCAAGTTGTAGAGGTTGCAAATTATCGTTATGATTAGTTAAATCTACGATCGGATGATTCGAGTTGGTATTAAGAGGTCAGGCAGGGCTTAGATTTTCCGTTGCAACTTTTGAAATCATTGACCTATCTTTCATGTGTGCGTAAGATTTTTTGTTTAAATGTTGAAATTTTTTGTCACACGAGCTTTTAATCGTCGCCAATCATTATTGACAATATTTTTCGAACTAGTACTCCTTGATTTTCCAATTTCTGTGAATTTTTTTAAATCAAGTTTAACGCATGATACTTCTTCACTGGGAGTTTTAACAATATTTTCTTCCTCTTCCTTAACTGTTACATCAATTTTTCCACAATCAAGTTTTGATTTTTTTGACTTAGGTGGTCCTTTCCCTATCGTTGCCTTTGTTGTTAGTTTAAGTTTTTCTTGCGCTTCCTTTTGAGCGTCTATTACAGATTGTGGTTCCTTGATAGGCATATTTCTACATACTCTAGGATTTAAAATTTCTGGTAATAAACTGTCATAGTAAAAAGCTTTCAAATTTTTTTTCATTTTTTTCCCCCAAAATAGTTCGTCGTATTTTTCAGTGACGCAGTAAATTCCTTTGGAAGTATAAATGACAAAAATGCACTTACTTCTTCCACTTGTTCGCATTTGGCCTTGTATTTGTAATAATTATGGTTCTTATTCATTTTATTTTTATTTATTTTATTTTTATTGATTTTATGGAAAATATTTTGGATTAGTGTTTTTTTTAAAGCTTGTGATATAGTCCAATCACGGGCACAAAATGGAGCTTTATATTCAACTACGGTATCTGTGCCTATTTTACCATCCAGACTAGCAGCCAAATAAGGTTCTATCTTGTTGATGCACAGACCTCCTCGTTCAACTTTTAATTTTGTCTTTTTTTCCAAAAGAAGCCATGCTTTTTCTTCCATATCCAAACCATAATGTAATTGTTCCAGATCAAGCTGTACTGGATACAATATGCCTTTCACAACCCTTGCCCGAGGGATAGTGTTTTTTATTTTGCAAATTTGTTCGAATTTGGAAGCCGTTAAAAGAAATCTTCGTTTTTCGTGCCAATCATCAGAATCGCTCTGTGCAATGGTGTTTTTCTCAATGTTTTTTCTATTAATTTGATCAATTTTTAATTTATTGAAATGCTCGTCCTTCAATTGCTTGTACAGGTACGGTGAAATGTCATTTTCTTGACGATTTTCTCCATAATCTTTTTCATCGTCATAAAATATTATTTTTCTTTTTTTACCTTTGGAAAACGCCTTTCTTTTCTTGTTATAAGATTGTTTATTTGTTATCGCACATTCTGCTTTTTTGCGACAATCAAGTCTTCGCCAATATATTCATTCATTTTCGTCAAAATAGCACCAGTGTTACATTGTATTGATGCTAAACGACACCGCTGATAATAAGAATCTCTGGCGCCTTGGAATGCTCACTTGCCACCCGTATACTTGGCCATTAATGACATGAAATGTTCCGATGCATTAGTGGTAACTTTTGCTATTAAACTATTTGAGTGAAAACTAATTTTTCTTGCAGCGTCTTGTATTGGCTGAAGAATATTGCATTGCCTAAGTGTGGGAATATAATTTACTCTAGCCTTTTTACAATTTAAACCTCGGCTTTTGCAATTTTTGTGAAATCCAAAAATATGATTCGTAGAGTTTAGGATGTCCAATCGTAGTTCTTTTAATTTTTCTGCGCTGTTTTCTTTCCGCCTTTTATTAAAAAAAAATTCTATGTGTCTACGCAATTTCAATGCCGATTTCTTTATAAATTTTCTAAACGCAAGTATTTTTCCGGTAATTTTAGTTCGAGGTAAGGGAAGTTTCGATGCACTATCAATTTTATTACATAAATTTCTAAATAAGTGGTTTGTACAAAACAATTTGGTTACTTTCACACCTTGCTTTCTGTATACATCATTATCCGTGAGAGCTTTAAACGTAGTGCAATCGCCATCGGCAATAAATGTTTTATATATAAGACTGAATTTTTCGACTCTGTTCTGAAAAGATTTTAAAATACAACTTGTTTCCATGCTACTTGAACTTTGTGAATATGCCCAATTTTTGAAGCAACGGTGCGATTTAGGGGAAACATTTTTTTTTGCTGCCCTTAAACATATAGCGCAATATTTTAGTCTCACTTGGACATCTACGCAAGATGGCGCTGCAGTTCAGCATGTCATTGAATTATAGAACAGTTTAGTTTAGTACATTTTTATTGGCATATTAAGGTGTAATACATTGCCATAGCACTTTAATCACATGGCGCACTAATGGCGCGAAGTACAAAAGTCGATTTATAACACAAACAATATTAAACTTAAATTAGTCTTACAATTATGTTACAACTATTCGGTGTGATTATCACATTTGACAATCTGTTTAAATGTTTATATTTATCTTACATATGAATTGAGCAATTGGAAAAATGGTTTCTTTTTTATTTTCTGAAAGTAAGGCTTCCAAATAGTTTCCAAATAGTCCAAATAGGGCATTATAATTTAGTCTTTGGAGTTGCTTGATAAGGTCAGCTCTTTGTTTATCAAATTTTTGACATTGCCAAAAAATGTGGTTAATAGTCTCTTCTGTATGTTGATCGCAATCGCATAAATTGTTTTCAATTATCTTATGCTTAGCTAAACTAGATTTTAGTGATGTGTGTCCGCTTCTTATTCTATTAATCGAGACTATAGAACGTCTGTTAAGATCTTTGTACATGTGGAACCATGGTTGTTTCCTTTGTGTAAAAAAGGTGTGGAAGTATTTTTTCCCCTTAAATTGAAAGTCTGCAATTTGACAAGCAATGTCTGTTTCTAGCCATTTAAATTTAAAAAACGAGAATATATCTGAAGACGG